CTACTAATCCTTTGATCTGTTGAAATAAAGTATTTGAAAATTCTATGAAAATCAATCATCTCAGAATATTTTCAATAAAAGTTTGATGACAAGATTTACTCCATATTCCATATCTTATTTTTTAAATGTCTTTATTAAATTAACTTTATGACCAATCATGATTTATTAGAATGATGATTACGAATACATGAATAACAAAAAAACAAAATAGAACAAAAAAAAAACGCAAAGACAATGAAACCTTCACGTCAATATTTTACCATTAATGAAGAATACTCACGACTATGAAATCTAGAAATGTATAAAATAAATAACGAAATGAAAAAGTCTTTATTTTAAATATTTCATAATGTTTACCATTTTTCTTTATTATGATTAGAACCATGATTGTCAATGCGTTTGACTTGCCTTTTATTTGATTTATTACGACATAACCTATACAAATTAAAATAGAAATTAATTTTTTTTCCCTAAAACATATTTACTTTTTCGTTTCCAAATGTCTTATATGTTTTTTTATATTGCCTAATAATAATTTATCTGCTTTATGTTTCATATAAATTAATTTATTTAATTGATAAGTTGTTTTTTTTATTTCTAAATATGTTTCATGGATTTGTTGATCAATATGTTTTATTTCATCTCTCATTTTTCTGGATACTAACAAATAATCCGATAACATATCATTATCATCATTTTGTACAATACTATTATTTTCTATTTGAATAATATGATCTGTTGAAAAATGATCATTTTCTATATTATGATTATAATGTTTATGATGATCAAGTGATGAAGAATCATATGAAATTTCATTATCAAATATTTTATCATCATCATCATCATCATCAAAATATTGATTATCAGTTGATGGTTTATATTGATGAGCATAAAATAAATCATTTGTTGTTGTTAATGGAATATTTGTTTTGCTAATATTTTCATTTGTTTTAGGTAATAAATTATTCTCATTGATATTATCTCTAAAGCAGAAAAGAATTCATTGATGATTAAAAAAACAACGAAAATTTAAATATTCTAATTAATAATTATTTTTCTATTTTATATAATAGAAGAATCAAATTTAAAGAATAAATATTGATTAATGAAATATGATTTTTTTTTCTTCAATAAGAGCCTTTTTTTTTATTTCAATTAAAAATTTCTTATAAAAATCAATATTTCTTTGTTTCAATAATCAAAGTATCATTTCTTAAACGTAATACAAAATTCACTTCTTGTTTTATATTAGTTATTAATCAAATGATGAATCTAATAGGATGATAGTTTAATAATCAGAGAAATAGTGAAGAAATCTTTCTCTAATAATTATTTATACAAAATAATTCAAATGAGAAAAGATCTTAGAAGAGATTAGTCTTAGTTGTTAAGTATTATTTATAGAATTAGTCAAAACTTCCAAGTGAATAACAATGAACCATGTTAAAAGAATATCAATAGATTCGAAACCGATGTGATTTACTAATCGATCATATTATATTTGAGTAAAAAAAACTTACTGCTTTTTTTTTTTTTTTTACGAAAGAACATAGAGTTGTTATCATATTTATAATGATTCAATATCATTAAGCAACAGTTTTAATAGATTTATTCTCGTATATATTAATTTTTTGATAAATATTATTTCCTAATCTTTTAAGTTAACAGTATTCATTGTTATTCGTTTTTATGTAATATTCATATAAAATAATGTATGTCAGAATGAAATAATTATTTTGCAATTTTAGGAAAGATTTTCCATAGAATTTTTACTATGTGATATGTTATTGAAATAAACTAAAATTTGAATGGAAACCAAAATCAATATATTATTCAAAGTACAAGCTAATAGAAAAGGAAATATTTGTATAAAATATCTTCATTTTTTATACTAACTAGAAATGAAAACGTGCTAAAACATAATTGTCTTGATTCAATTTCCTTCGAAAACTTTTTATATTATCTCATTATGTTAAAAAAATATCTGTCTTATTTCGATCTTCTTGAAAGAAATCTTGAAGATCATACTTATATAGTTAGACATGTACTAAGCTTGATGATTGATTATTAAAAATTGATTTTTTCCTCTATCAAAATCGTCTCAATCTCTATAACCTTGTCATTGAACATTTCAGACAATGATTAAATATGAGATACTAATGGTTTCGATTATTCATATCAGTTGTATTAATAACAAGAGAAGACAGAAGTGAATATTGTTCAATAAAAGGCTTCTAGATCATTCATAAAGTCTTATCAAGGGAGAAACAGCAGAGACTTCGGTTTTGAAGTCTTATGAAGTCTCGGAAGTCTTTCAGGGACCCCTTCCCGACCCAAAATTTTCATTTTTTGTGATCAATATATAGAATTAAATACTCTCTATCTAGTGAGCATATTTTGAGAACTGAAAATCTACATTTTATATATTAAAAACTCGAGAAAAACGATAAAATACGCCGAAAAAAAGGATCAATAAAACTCAACTTTTTTGCTTTTTTTTAGCAAAACTAGGTTTTTCAACAAAAAATTGAAGTTTTTCCCCTTTTCTCCCTCGTGGTATAACCGATCGGACTCAAAAGTTTTTTTAATCAGTACTTTGGTCAAATTGGGGTGTGTCTTTTTTTTCTCTTGCAAATATTGTTCCTATGAATTTTTGATAGGTTGAGCAAAATTAGCACCATTGAAAAAAGCAGGTATTTTGATAGTGCCTTCAGTATTTTGCCTTTCCTAACCTGTATCAACGAGATTTTTCGAAAAAAAGACGCACTTGAAAGTATGATATCATTTTAAATATATTAATCATAATCTAATAATATCACTCAAATGAATTTTTTTCCCGCTTTTGTTTATATAGAAAAAAAAAAAAATTCAGTTTGTATAAATTAGACTTACACATTAATATTTTGTGCCATTTGTTTTGAATTTGTTGTATCTTTACAATTGTATGTCTGTCATGTATTTATTTATACATTTATATACATCCGTATGCTCTTTGTTAATAATAAATTCAGCCTATTGGTCATGATTTTTGTTCTTTGTTCTACGAGTAATCGAATCAGTCTATTGATTATATAAAATCAAAAGAAAAATTATACAATAAATATATGTGTCAGGCAAAATTGAGCTTTAAGCAAAATGAAGCATGACTATTAAGAGATTGTGAAATTAAAAACAATCGAAGAAAATAAGAATAAATAATTGATCTTGTATATTTCAATCAATTTATGTTAATTTTTAATCAGGAGTTTCCAAACGTCCAAAGATTGGGGAGCACCCACCCACACCCATACAACAAAAATGAAGAAAAAATTTTTTGAAAAATTCCCCTATCCCCTCCAGGACTTTCCTTAAGAGCCTTTCCAAAAATGACCGTACTCTCTCACGGCAATTTTTTGAAAAAAGTTTTGTTTGATTTTTGAAGAACGTTTTGATGTGGGTTGGTGTAGAATTCCAAGACGATTCTAGCTGGATATAAATCATCTGATTCAGATCTCATTCCTATATATTTTTGACTAATTTTCAGCAAAACAGGTTCAGGTATCTCACAGGTAAACCAAACTGGTATAAGCTTGAGTGGAGCATAAATTTTACTTTATTATATTAGTTCCATCTTCTCTGAAAGTTTCAACCTTTACTGATAAACCATTCACTAGATACTTGGAAAGGGAGAGGTGGTCAACAAAAAATTTTCAGATTGCATTTTTTTGCAAAAAAGATCGATCGATTGCCAAACGGCTCCCCTGTCAAGTAAATAATGAGGAAATGGCTATTAAAATGTATTATTATCTGTAACTAGACCATTTCAGTCATTAAAATGCATTTTTTTAAGCGAAAAATGGTAAAGGGACCATTAGAGTGCGTATTGATTCGTTCGTGAACCATTTTGACCATTTTATGATCACCAAAGTCTATTTTTTCGGAAATTTGATTTGATTTAAATATGTGTATAATTTCTAAAAGTGACACGATTTTACTAGTCTTTGCTTACAAGACTTCATATTCTACATAATTGTTAAGAATATAGTTCAAAATTCACCAAATAAGAGGCAATCGAATTTTGTGATCATGATGAAGGAAAATTTAGAAATAATCAAAAACAACTACTTTTTACATGACTTTAACAATGAATCGACAATTCTCAAATCGAGGAGCATCGTATTCTTCATGACACGGACCATATTTAAAAGTTTTTCCTTGAAAATTGAATGTCTGTGATTGAAAAAAAAAAACGCAATATTTTTTACTTGCAGTATATTTCATTTTTCTCCACCAAATACAAAAACGTAAATCAAGGCATTAAAAATGCTTCGTCTGTTACCGACGTTTACATACACATGTAAAATTATCAAGTATTTGATTGGACATGTTTTATGACTTTTGGATTATTCTAATTTTTCCTTTAACATTTATTTCGTATTGAAAGAGACTCAGTAACATATACGAAGAGCACTTTTAGTTACATGTATACATTCATGATTAATGTATGTGCACCTATATAAAATGAGCAATTGACATGTGTCTATGCCTACTTGTAATTTTACAGAGAGAAATGAATTTCCAGCTATTATATTAACGTTTCAACTAACTGAAGTTTTTTTTTCATTAAATTGTTCTTAAATTTCATTCGGCAAATTCTTCAAATGATGATTTAAAATAAGGTAATCCTTATAATGAACGAATAATTGAGATTTTTAGTCGTTTACACTTTCTTTACCAATTGTGAACAAATTTGATTCATTTAAAACGAAGATGATCTAGTAGTAATATGTTACCCATCTTTTTACTTAATACAATTCAGAACATGTTAAACTATAAACGAAAAAGTAGAATAAAAAAAACTCCACCCTCTGATTTTTGAACAATTCAGATGTTTGAAAAATTTTCTTTCGAATAAATTATTTGTATAATTTACTAGTACGGTCTATAGCTTCTTTCATATCTCTCTGCGTTAAATGAACACGAGTTCAAATTTTTTCAATTTATTCGGAATAGTATTGAAAATTAGATCTCACAATTAAATTTTACGTTGACGAGTAATATCTAACATATACCGAGATGTCACCCATAGAATATAGCAGTTCGCTGAAAAATAGAAATCTATTCGATGCCTCGTTTTGAAAAAAATAGTGTAATACCTTTCAAATATATTTTAATCAATTTCTGTCTCTTGACGAGTAACTTACATTAGCAGTTGATATAAATGTTGTACGAAGAAGAGAACAAGTCAAAAGATAAGTTGAATATTTGGAATGCTTGTGATAAAGATGTTCGTATTGTCAGTTAAGAGGTTTAGATATATTCGGGTCAAATTACAGCTTTCATCATTAAACTAAGAAAATTAAAATATAAGCTTTTGTTGCCATGCCTAGACTGTGATATTTGAATTTTACGATATTTAAATTATTTGAAACGTGCTCACAAATCAAAATTTTAGCAGAATTTTTTTCCTTTTTTTTATCATGGTTGTATAGAGCTCGTCGAGTTATATAAGAAAAAGTATGTTTCGAATTGAAAACAATTCTTGTGAAAATCAAAATTCTGGGCCTATTTCTCTATATATTTGAAAATAATGTTATCATGGACTTCTTTGTAAAATATTTGTTTTTTTTTGAATTTGAAACATACTTTTTCTTATATGACTTGACAAGCTCTATTCAATTATGACGTAAAAAGAAAAAAAATTCTGCTCAAATTTTGATTTGTGAGTACTTTAGATATGGTGAAAATATCCTAAAATTCGAATATTTTGATTTAGGCATGGCAACAGAAGCCTATATTTTAAATTTCTTAGTATAATGATGAGAACTGTAATTTGACCTGAGCATATCTAACCTTATTAACTAATAATGCAAACACATCCATCGCTAGTCAAAAAATAACCGTTTTAATGTGTTACATGACGCATATTTTAATGCCTAACATGGAATGCATTTTTTGGCATTTTTTGTGACCGTTTTACATTATCATAATAATTACCATTCATAGGCATTTTTATGGAATTTCACCATTTTCATCCCTGCCTGGGTCATGTGCGCCCCAATTTTATTCTTATGCCAAGTTGTAGAGCAATGTGTAGTCTTCAACGCTGAGTAGGTACGGAAAAAAGTTAGGGTTTGTTTTTCGAGAAAACCGAGGTCAAAAATTGACTTTTCAGCAAAAAATCGATTTTTGTTCCAGATACTTTGTACGAATGCTTTACTCTAGGAAGCTCAATTATATATGGTGGTTAGACAGAATAAAGATCTACTTAAAAACAAAATTTCAGGTCTCTATCATTTTCCAATCTGGAGATATGAATGGCAAAAGTTGGTCAAAAAATGGATTTTTTTCGTCCAACAGTGAATTCCATAAAATATCAACAACTCAACCGTTGGAGCTGAAATTTTTTTTACAAGTAGAACTTTGTTAGTTATTGATGTACAGAAAATTTCAGCTTAAACAATTTATGTTTTCTTGAGAAATTAATGTGTCCAAAATCATCCCTCGTAAAAGTGAGTTTTTTAGGGTGCTGTCTGTAAAAATGCGATAAAAAACGAAGGATTCAATATTTTTTGAATCCGCTTTCGACAAAATTCATCAAACACTTGCCTCTATCGCATATATTAAAATGAGGCAAATCGGAGACTATCGATTGAGCGTTGTCTTAAGGAATCGACTGTGGTCTAGGGGTGTGAATTTATTGTTATTGTTATTTGTTATTAATAACAAAAAAATAACAAATAACTTTTTTTTTTAAAAACTTTCAACTCGAATTGCTGCCTATCTCAACTATACTAATTCTATTGGTCTATGTTTAAGGAACGAATTTGCTACGGCTATGACATTAACCGATCTCAAAATTTCAGAATTCCCTTAGATTATATACAGGGTGGCCCAAAAGTAACAGGATACAAAGTTTTTTTCGATTTTTTTTCTTTGTACATCGACAGTTACATCTCATATTTATACTACATATACTACAGAATACTAGTCAGAGATGTGTCATGTGATCAGCCTCTAAGCATAGCAACTGGTTCCAAACACATACATGTATAAATTGCTCGTATGTGACTACATGAAAAATTTCATGTTTGTTGTATTACATACGATTTTCATATTCTTGCCTGTTTACTCCATTCTGAAATACAAATTCGACCCAATTGAATTTCGTATTCTTTTGGCCTAAAGGAGTTCAAAATGTGATCAAATCGAATTTGTATGCCAGATTGGGATAAATAGGGAAGAATATGAAAAATGTATGTAACACAACAAACATGAAATTTTTCATGTAGTCACATACGAGCAATTTATACATGTATGTGTTTGGAAGCAGTTGCTATGCTGAGTGGTTGATCATATGACACATCTCTGACTCAAAGTTGTAACCGGTCTAGAAATTTCAGAGCGGTCCAGTCCGACCGATGATCAGCTGGTCTAAAAAATAATTCCAACCCGGTAAAAACCGGCGAGTTTATGAAGTTTATTCATATGATAAAAGTGATATTAGGGGCCAACTTTCACTCTAAATGCTTATAGATTTATACCTAGGAGAAAACAACTGATTTTTTGAAACATTTTTATCAATTTTAAAGGAAAATAATCAATGTAATAAAAAAATCAAAATATCGCTCATTCGAAACGGTCTAGTCTTGAACGTTTTAGGCCTTTTTTTAAAAGTATTTTCTCATAATTTAAATGTATAACTAGAAGTTAATTTAAAAAAAACACGTTTCACACGTTTAAAGGACAACGTTTTATCATGATAACTACAAAACGATGATGTTTTCGATTTTCCCGGTAATATTGATTTCCCTCAAGTTTTTTATTTCCCTGAATTTTTTGATTAAATTGATCTTTTTTGCTTGAAAATTGATAGAAAATAAAAAACAACAATTTGCTCTTAGTTTTTAATGAAAACATCCGATTAATAATTTTAACCAATTTACTCGAAAATAAACCTGATTCTAGTTCTTTTTCTTATTTATCAGTCTTATCTTTTCTGTAACACATATTGCAGTGAGCTTTGTTCTCAATTTGCTTATAAGATTTCCAATAAGAAAACTAGGAGACAAACTAGGATTGTGACCGATCGAGATCGTTGACCTGATTCAGTTCATCGGGCGAAATTTTAGACTGATCTAGTTCGGCTAGTGAGCAGCTGGTTCAAAACATTTATTAGGCTGGTGGAAACTAGCAGAATATGGTCCGCTTGTTGCGTCATTATTAATTCGCTAATAGGGATGATTTCAGAAACAGTCATTTCCCTTTTTCGTTCCGGTTTTTACAGATCATCATGAACGAATATCATGTTCTAGTTCTTCATATCTGTTTGGTTTCTCAAAGATAAATACCTGAGATATTTATATATAGCTCGAAAAAGTGTCATTTACAGATCAACTGATTGCCACATTCCAGATTTTGAATTTTATTCACTTAACCTTTACAAATAACGTAACGCTTCTCTCTTAAAGATGGCTCGAGCCTAAATTTTGTCTTCACAAAAAATCTTTGAGATAAGTTTAACTGAACTAATATTGTTTCGAATGAACTTTTTAGAAAATAAAGCGTATTTGGATTAAAGAAATGAAATAGATTGAGGAACAGAAGAAAAAAATGTATAGTTTTTCAAATAAAATAAGTCGGTTATTTTGATAAGGTCATAAAAACTTGTTATCAACAAGTTTTATCTGAAAAATCTGTACATTCATAAAAAATATTTTAACCGGTAAAAACCGGCTGGTCCAACCGCTTCAACCTGTTCGGTCCGATCGAACCGGTTACAACTCTGCTCTGACTAGTATCCTCTAGTATATGCAGTATAAATATGAGATGTAACTGCCGGCATTTAAAGAAAAAAAATCGAAAAAACTCTTTTATCCTATCACTTTTGTCCCACCCTGTATATGATCTATGCGAATTCTGAAATTTTGAGATCGGTTAATGTCATAGTCGTACCAAATTCATTCCTTAAACATAGGTCAATAGAATTAGTATAGTTGAGATAGGCAGCAATTCGAGTTGAAAGTTTTAAAAAAAAATAAGTTATTTGTTATTTTTTTGTTATTAATAACAGTAACAAAAAAAAGTTATTGTTATTAATAACAAATAACAAAAATAGTTATTGTTATTGATAACAATAACTTTTTTGTTATTGTTATTGTTATTAATAAAAACCGAATAACAATATCTTCTCACCCCTACTCGATAGATCATCACAGACTGCGAGAGACATTTTTGATATATGATTAGCGATCATATATCACTATCATCTCATGAGTATATATGAATTGATTCCTTCTTGCAATTCTAAAGAGAATTAAAGTAAAAGATGATGAAAAAAACATGGGTCTCAAGATAGATCGAATAAAACAATATTTTCGGCGATTAATAATAACAGTTCCAACGTGTTTTACATTTTAATCTCATAGGGATTGCGCGACACAGCTTTTACATATCGACTAATTTTCGTAGACTCTCGTATTTGTTGACTCGAGTAACCGTTTTATTTTTGATAATCATTGATTGTTTAATTACCTGTTAGAAGAATAAAATAATAAATAGGACTAATTCTATCAATACTTAAATCATAAATTTGAATAAAATCAGCTGTTAATAATGGAATTTGTGCTTGATTTTTATCTGATAACTATTGTGCTCGTATAATATAATTTCCAGTTGAATCTAAACTTGGTTGAAGAATTATAGTTGGTTCTCTTAATCGTCCATTATTATCAATATTTAATATATGACAATTTTTTAAACCTGTTATACACATAAATAATCACTATTTAATTGATTTGGTTGCATTGATAATATTGTAAATGGTATATTAAATGTATTTTATTTATTTAATGTTAATTTTTTTTTTGTTGAATTATCATTTATTACGTTATTAATCATTGTTGTTGTTTGTTTAAGTAATGAATTTAATTGTAATATAGTTATCATTGCTTGTTTACCTTTTTCTTGACTAACAATTAAATGTTGTTTTGTTTGTTCAGGATTTAATGATGAGATAATAGAGATACCTTGACGACGAATTGAATTTCTACTAACAATGGAGGTGTGTGTGATGTAACTCAAGGAGATAGGACATATTCGGGTCAAATTAAAGGTCTCATTGCCAAACTAACAAATTTAAAATATGACGTGCTTATGGCTTGCCTGGACCGAGATATTTAACTTTTAAGTATAGGTATAAAAATGAATCAGGAAAGGTTTTCTCCACTATTATAAGGGTAAAACATAGTGTTGTTCGGGCCGATTATGGGGTTTGTAGGGATCCTCTTTCATATGGCCCGAACAACACTATGTTCTATCCTTATAATAGTAGCGTGAAATTTTCCTGTAGCTCATGGAAACAGCTTTTTTCTATCAACCACTAGGAAAATTCACTCCACTATTACAAGGACAAAACATGGTGTTGTTCGGACCGATTATAGGGTTTGTAGGGTCCCTCTTTCATATGGCCCGAACAACACCATGTTTTGTCCTTATAATAGTGAAGGAATTTTCCTAGTGGTTGATAGAAAAAAGCTGTTTCCATGAGCTACAGGAAAATTTCACGCTACTATTATAAGGACAGAACATAGTGTTGTTCGGGCCATATGAAAGAGGATCCCTACAAACCCCATAATCGGCCCGAACAACACTATGTTTTACCCTTATAATAGTGGAGAAAACCTTTCCTGATTCATTTTTATACCTACACTTAAAAGTTAAATATCTCGGTCCAGGCAAGCCATAAGCACGTCATATTTTAAATTTGTTAGTTTGGCAATGAGACCTTTAATTTGACCCGAATATGTCCTATCTCCTTGAGTTACATCACACACACCTCCATTGTAAGTAATTGTTTTATTTGTTGTCCATGTTCATTTCTATATGATAATTTAACATGTTCAAATGCATTTTCTTGTGAATGTAATATACCAGTAAATAATTGTTATTCTTGTTGTTGTTTATTTTCATCAGTTTCAATAGATAATAATTGATTATTTGTTTTTAAATATTCTGATATAAAATGAAATTTATTTTCAATATAATATATTTGTTGATATTTATTATCAATATATGGTTGAAGTAATTTAAATAAACGAAGTGTATTATATTTGATATATTTATTTTTTATAGATAAATTATAATCTTGTTGTTTAGAATTAATTTGTCGAATTAAACGACGTTGACGATTTGTTAATTTAGGTTTTTTATTTGATAATGATGGTCATTTTTTAATTTTTTTCTTTTGTAATGATGATATTGGTTGAATAATTGTTGTTGTTGTAATTGGACGTTTAACTAATGGTTGACATCAACCATCTTCTTTAACATCACAATCACAAAAAAATGAACCATATTTTGCATATGATATATCATGATCTTTATGACAAACATTAGCACATATTTGACAAATACCAATACGATCAATCATTTTACATCTATGACAATGATACCAATCTTGATTAGCATATTCTTTTTTTGTTGTTGTATATCTACATTATTTATTTCGATCATATTTAGATTGAATTGTTGATGAAAGAAGAGTTTGTTTTTTTTTATCAATATTTATATCTTCATCATCTTGTGAATCATCATCTTCATCATCACCTGATTCATCAAGTTTTAATGGAGATTTTAAAGATGTTGAATCATTTATTGTTGATAAATGTTTTAAACCTATTAAAATATCATTTATATAAGCAAGTAAATAAACAATTCCTTCAAGAATATTATAATGAAAAAAGTGTAAAAGATTCAATCGATGAAGATGTTGATAATGAAGATAGAACTGATGATAAGAATGATGATGATGCTGATGTAGAACTAAAACATAGAGAAAAAAAAATTAAGAATTGGAAAAAACAATGGAAAATTAATTGAAATGGATATCGAAAAGCATAGTACAATGATAAATAGTCTTCTTACACTTGGTCATAATTTATTAAATGAAACTGATATTTATCCACGAACAATCGATTCAATATCACGTACAGTTCAAACATTAGAACAACGTTGGTTATCATTAAAAGAATTAATAATGAAACGAAAATTTGAGTAAGTTATTCTAATAGATTTATCATAAGATAAATCTATAATATTAATATTTAGATCGGATAATATTCATATTTCATGGCGAAATATTGATGAAACTATAAATCGTATATCAAAAATGATTAATGATCATGAACGTTTTCTAACTGAAATTAAGCGAACAAGTGGTGATGGTTTACAAGGTATTCGTAATGAATATAAAAGTCTTGAGGTTTGGTTTTTCTTCTATTTTCCATTCTCGTTCATTTATGTTTGTTTATTTTAGAATTTTAAAAGAACATTAGATAATGATGATAAAGAAATTCAAAAAATTGCAAATTGTCATTCAGTAATTCTTCGTTTATATCCAACAGCTGATTCAAATAATGAAATCCGTAATAGAATAAAAGATCTTAATCATCGTTGGAAAATATTAAATGAAACAGTTCATGAAACACTAAAACATGTATAAATAATCGATTTCCTTTGTGTTTTTTTTATTAATTAAAATTTTATTTATTTTAGCTTAAATATATGTTAAGTATTCATGGTGATTTTCAATTAACACAAGATTCATTATTACTTTGGTTAACAGATCTTGATGTACTTTTAACAAATCTTGAATATTTATCTGAAGCACCAACAAATGAAAAAATTCGACAATTACATGTAACAAAAAATGATTTTTTTTTACATATTTTATTTCGAATAACTTCTTACTGTTCATTTTTTTCTAAGGATATGGATCGTGAAATTCAAGAAAAACAAGCAAAAATTGAATATGTCCAAAAATGTGCTAATTATTTACTTAATAAAACTGTTGATGCTCGTGGTTTAACAATAAATATGAATGAATTAGATAAATTTCTTCAACAATTAAAAAATTTAACAAAACGTATTAGAAAATTAAAACAAAATTTAATGAATCCAAGTGATGTAAGAATAGTATTTTATTCTATTTAACGATAGTAGATCGTTGACATAAACGACTGTTTACGAATACATACAATTAGAGAGCTGTGGGTCCACTTTGTTCTGGATCCGGACCCAGGAAAAATTTAAATTCTGCACCCGGATCTGATCGGGTTCGAGTCTGAACGGACCCGCAGCTTCCTACATACGATATGTTGATGGTTTGATAAGCCGTTTTCGGCACCTTGAGATATTTTTCGATTGTCGACAACAATCGCCATAGTGTTACGATGGTCATAAAACTTCATTTATGGTTGCAGTAAACAGTTACCCTAAACGCGTATCGTTTTTTCGCCGTAATTAAGCATGAATGATTGACCTGAGTGAAATCTTACTCCTGATGAACAGCAGCTTCCGGACTTTATTTTTTTTATAAATCCCATTATATATATCTTATCATGAGACAGAAGAAATGATGTTGAGAGTGAGGACTAATACTTCAGAATTATTACGTCTTTCTTTTAGTACAATTCAAATGTATTATATATTATCAACAGATAAATCAAAGAAAAAGTCCTGATAAGTTCTCTATGAATCACTCCTATTTGTCTATATCTCAATTGCAATTATCAGCAGTCAATTTATTCTCTTTTATGAAACTTGTTTTTTATTTCTAGCGTCATTTGGATTTAATGAGTTCAGTTCGTATTTCTACATCACCAACACATAAACGTTTAGCTTCTCCATCGCCACCAAGTATGTAGAACGAAAAAATTCTCTTTTCTTTCGAAATACTAATTTTGAAAATTTTAGGATCTCGATCTCCAAATCGTTATCGCCGTAATCGAGACCGTTTTCTTTGTTCATATGATAAAATTGAATTAGATGATTGTCGTCAACGTGCAGATAAACTTTTAGCTGATTTTGAAGATATTCTTCTTCAAATGAATGCAGATTTTCGTTCGAAAGAAGAAATTTTTCATTCTCCAATACCAATGGGCGCTCAAATTGAAAACTTATCTATGGATTTTACTTATGTAAGAATATTTATTTAATCAATTAAAGACAAAAAAAAAGAATTCTTTATTTAGAATCGAATATTAACATCTACTCGAAGAAAAATTGATGCATTACGTGAATTTATTCTTCAAATAAAACAAGAATTAGGTGCATACTTAACTCAAGATCTTAATAATGATCCAATGATACTTGGTAAGAATTTATTAAATCATTGATTTTCAATTATTAAATCTTTTTTTTTTTCTTTCGAATAGATATTATGAATAAATGAACTTCTTTACAAACTTTAGCTAATAATAAAGACGATCAATTAAATCAAAATCGTCAACGATGGAAACATTTTAAACGACAATTAGAAGATCTTGAACAATCGACTCAAGAATTTACAAATTCTGATCATTTACGTTAGTAGAAAAAAAAGTTATTGAAAATTTTAAAAAATTCATATATTTTTTTTAGCATCACGAACAATTTGTTCAACATCTGGTGTAAATCAACGATTAGGTAAAGACAATGCAAAGAGTTTTATAATTTATAAAAAAAAATTATCCTTCAGGTGAATTTGAAATACTTTTAAAATCAACAATTGAATTAGCCAATGAATTTAATAATAATTCAAATGAATGGATAATTATTGAACATCGTCTTCAATTAATAAAAGATAAATTTCAATATTTATTAACAAGATCAAATCGTCAATGTCGAGAATTAAAAGTATTTATTTCTCATTGATTTATTCTTTTGAATGATTTATTTTTTTAAATAGACAAATTCTGATATAAAACATGAAATATTAGAAATTAATTCTCAATTAGATCATCTTGAAACATTAACACATTCATTAGAACCAATTGATAATAATGAAATAAATCAAAATACAAATCGTACAAAACTTCATCGTTTTATTCGTATTCATGATGATCTTGAAATTCTTAATGAACGTTTAATTAAAATTAATGATTATTCATCATCAATTTTATCAAATGATCAAATACGTCAAACAAATGATTTAAAATTATTATTTGATCGTTTAAATTCAATAAAACGTATTGTTAGAATCTACTTTGATCAATTAGAAAAATTATTAGCACAAAATGAAATAAATCAAAGTTTTTCACAATTAAGAACATCAAAATAATAATTTTCAAGTAAAACAAAAAAAAAGAATTATTCATTATTATTATTATTATTTTTATTTTTATTTTAGCATGTTTATCAATAAGATAAAAAAGATTCCTTTATCAATAATCAATCATTTTTCATTTGATATTCATCAAAAATGAACATTTGAATTTATTCAATGTCAAGTACCACTTTTTCTTTATGAAAACTTTTTGCTAGATATCAGAATTTTATTATTATAAGATTCCATGGTGTGAATCTTTGTTCTTTAATATTCTTTTCTAGTTCACATATTCCATACAGTTTTTCTTCTTCTTGCATGAGCATGCTTGCTTCTCTTTTTTGTGTAAACAAATATATCATAATTTTGAATTAATAAATGTTAAATTCATAATTTTGTTTGCATGATTTACTTAGGGTATAGTAAAAGTAGTGGCGGAGGTATTTTAATTCGCTATAAAAATATTAAAGAAATTTTTCTTTCTACATGATCTGATAGTAAAAAACAATGCTCTTCAAATCTCTGATATGTAATCATGCTTTAACTATCAATATAATAATCAAATTTCTATAAGATTTATTTGGTATGATATATAACAGTAACATCAGATCACATATTGTCTTCAGTATCTCCGCTATAACATTAAAATGACAAAAAGAAAGACCTAACTGAAGGCAATGGAATTCTTAATTTTCCGCTCCATAATGTGGAGTGTGAGTGTCGGTGCGTATCTCCAATTTACCGACACCGACAGTCACACCCACACACACGCACTTCCACATCCCAGACCAACACCGACAGGTCGCACCGATTAAAACGTAGTGTGGGTGTGGGTGTGGGGATGGGTTTAAGTGCTCGGTCTTACCAATCATCCACACCTACACCCCCATTTATCTACGACCATGTATCCACAAACGAAGATAGAGTAGAAGAAAACAAAGGTGTAAATGCAGCTGTTTTGTCTTCTTCATATGTGCCGCAGTATCTCCAATAAAACATGTTCTTAAAATGTGCCCATGGAAGTTCATTTTTATCGTCCACATCTGAATATGAATCACATTTATGTCTTGTACCTATTTGGTAGGTACGCAGCTCTTTTTGCTGCTTCACAGTGAATTAAGGAGTACAAAATTGCTTCACTCTTTGCTAAGTATGATAACGAAAACGGGGACTGAATATTTTGGGATGTGAGAAAATAAACGTAATCAAATCGAAGACTTTATTTCTTGTTTCAGTATCATCGAGTTTATACTCATTTTTACTGAGAGCGATAATAAACTCAGCAGCCATGTCACGTGCATCTGCACTATTAGCTTCGCTATCGCGATAGCTATCCAATCTAATCTTCCTATCCGATGAATAGCGAAGTTTTGAAGAGCCGACTTCCAACGAACGAATCGGTAGAGGATTAATACATAAAAAATCATAGAGTTGTAGCATGCCGAAGATATTGGCTTGTTAAGGTAATTCAGTAAACACAAAAGATGATCGTTGCGCAGTAACTGAAGAGAGGATGGCCATAAACCATCTGTGTCGAATACGAGATGATATGACATATTCACCATGTTCGTTTTGAATTGTCTTAAAATGATCATCATGATATACGAGGCTCGATAAGTAAGGAATACGTTCGAGTTGTTCATGAGTGATTCTAACAGATTTTTTGGAAGTGTCAAATCGTAATACATATGAACCAGTTCTTTTATTTTCTTCATTGAAATCAAAAATTGTGGCCATGGTCGATTTCAACGTAGCATAAATGAATCTGTGGTTGTTGGAACGAATAAGAAGCTTTTTGTTTTTCCTCTATTAATATTGACTCATGCTTGTGTTGGCTTTTTCCTTTTGAAGATATCTGACAAGATAACGCGACGATAGCCTCGCTAACCCTCTACTGAAAGTAAATGTCCATGTTTAGAAGAGCTACCGAGACTTATTCTTTCGGGTTTTATATTTTCTATTGGGTCTATTTATTTCTTGGAGATTTGTTAATTATGATAATATTTTAGAACAAACACAACAACACCAATGTATCTAAACTCTCAGTTACACTCACATATATGTCCTCGCCCACATCATAATTTTATTAAGGGAGGGTGTGGGTGTGAATATGGATGCGTGTGGGGTAGGTGTGAATGTGGGTGTGTAGATGTGTGGGTGTGGGTGTTGTGCTTCTCTAAGCCCACACCCAAACCGACACTCACACCCACCAACACCCACACCCCACACTCACCTCTAACTGTACGACCAGCACCACTATCTGGAAAGAGAATAACATAATAAATGATTAACGTACAGCCAGTTATATTGGTCTGGACGACGTGAGTAAATGTCCATTCAATTGTGGGAATGATTGCATCGATGATATGCTTGAATGAGAATGGGATATATGATGTTGTACAATTATATGTACTGTTCATGGCCATGTAATATGAAATATTCTTTTCACACACAAACACCATTGAAAGGAATTCAATCAGATGAATAAGTAAAAAAATGCAAATAATGGAACCACAATTAATCTTAGCCATGTCTAAAAAAGAAAGAATTATTTATATAAATATTTGCTCAAGCAATAACAAATCTAAGGGTACTTCTTTACTTTAATCACAGTACAGAACGAGAAAGAAAAATGATAGGTGGAAAAGTCACCATTCAATTTAATTCTATTTACAGAACAAGAAAAAAATGACCGATGAATAGATGGCAGTCGTAGATGACATCAGGGTGTGGGACTATTCAAAAGTAACATGGTCATTTTTTCAAACGTTTATTTATGAAAGCCTTATTGAATGTGAGTGTGGGTGGTGGGTGTGGGAGTGAGTAAAAAGAACGGTAATAGTCATACCCACACCCACATCCACACCCACACCCGCACCAACCCACACCCACATCCACACCCACACCCGCACCAACCCACACCCACACCCACACCTAGAAGAGGACGTACAGAAAAGGACGTAAAAGAAAAGGACGTACAAACATAGGACGTATAGAAAAAGATGTAGAGAAGAAGACCCAGAGAGAGGAACATACAGCGGCTGGACGTACAAAATGAACGTAATCAAACATTCTATAGAAGAACATATAGAAAAAAAATGTGAAGAAAGGACGTAAACCCAAACTATAAAAGAAGAACACTGAAATTTTTTATCGTTTCCGAGGGAAATGAAAAACCAGATGGACTCCCCTATTAGCTGAGATGTTAGTCTAGTAAAGAGCCCAAAACGTGTAAAACTAGTTTGTTTTCGTTCTTTAATTACGTCCTTAGACTTTAGTATTTCAAATGCAATTAAATTTCAATACAATGTTATATTTTATTATTGACATTGACACTTATTTATTATTCCGCAGATTGATTTGTGTGTTGCATTGAATAAAAAGCCAAAAAAGAAGTGTTTCTTGCAATTTAATTATTTTTTCTTTTTGCTTTATACAACATATAAACAGAAGTCGAAATGGCCGGCAACAAATTATTTGTACGGTGGATTTCTGATTGACCTTCAGAGACTATCATCACAGGACGCTAATGCTCAAGATCGTTTGACACTGTTGAATTTAATCACAATGTTTACATTGAGAAATAAAATAGTTGCATATCTCAATTGAAAGAAAGTTTCATTGATTCTACCCTACTATTGAAAACTATTTAGGAATATCTATTCTTGATTTCAGTTTTAAATCGAAAAAACCATAGACTGATTTGTCTCTTTACTACTCAAATATACTATCATTTGATTTTAGTTATCACCTACAAGTCTCCTACAGCAAGTCACACAGAATTAAAAGAGCAGTGATTTTTGGTGATGCGAAGCTTATGATTTTTCTTTGCGAGTTGCATAAAAAACTAAAAAAATCTGAGTATTGACAGTGAGATTTCAAGAAAAGAAAAGGCGAAGGAGTTCAAGCGACATTTTCAATTCACTCTCGCTTATGTAGAAATTTTATTTATATGAAATTCATTACTTTTTATTAGATGTAAAAAAAAATCTTAATTGAATTTTTTTCGTTAGAAAATTGCTTTGCTGGACCCTAAGCGCTTCATATCTATATGCAGGAAACCTTTGTATGGCATAAATTTTCTCATTTTGAAGAAACCTACAAGATACATATTTGTTTATTCATTCTGTCTCCTCCGACTGCAAAATATAATACGAGGCGTTAGTGTAGTCAAATACAATCGTTCATTTTCTTATCGAACACAATCGCACACTACAATCAAGATCAAGTCGATAAACCTAGAAAGACACAGGGTAATCATTCTTATCCAGTATTGTTAACTATACTTGCAGATCCACACAATATTCCGTGTTATCCTCCGCTAGTGGTACCATCTGTCGGTAAAGTTTCTCATCAAGTGCGTAATCCACCATTGCAATTTCTGTTTGTTTTCTTACGAGTCATTCAATCTAGTATCATCATTAATTGACAAAAGATATGCGATCTCGTTCTGTTATCCATGTAACCACTCGATCACCCAAAAATAATATCCATCCGACAAAAAATCAGTCTGCCAATCCTCAAAACATTTTGTTTCCGGTTATATTCTTAGAATCTTTGATTATTCATATTTTCTCTTTGTTTAAATAGATGTCAACTATTTTGGCTGCGCGTTATCATCAAAACAAACTCCAGCCTGTCGCGATCACGGGGAGAGGGGAAAGGGGAAGAAAAGAAATAAACGATGACACCCTTTCCTTTCCCTCCCATCCCTTCCAAATCCTGAATGCCTTCACAATAGCCCAGGATAAATCTGCCAAGCAGATTGTCAGTCAAAATTTTGGTAAATCAATCAACAATCGAATACATCCCGACAATACCACCAAATTTGATCAATATTCCAAGGCATCAATACAGGTGACATAGCAAAATGAGTAGCATGCTCATTATTAGATTCTCCACGCCTATATATTTATTATTGAAGATCTGGAAATTGTTTAGTTTTCGTTCGGTGAACAAGTTCTTATTTGAAGTATAGACATCTTCATCGAATCTTAAAAATGGTCAAAAGCTCT